GCGTCCCTCCCACCGCTCTGCCGCGCTTTGTATTATGCTATGCTGGGTGGGTCCTACTCGCCGCGCGCTCGGCGCTCGGGGAATACTTGCGCGGATTGGCGGATCTTTATTAATTATTTTCTAATTAATTATTGAAAATTTTGCAAAGTGGTAAAGGACTTACTTATTCAGTTTGACCCGCTCTATCTGTACACGACGGTTGGGCCGCGAACTTTGGGACACCCTGTATATGGAATGTACACGAGGTATATTCTATGTATATACAGGCAGCGATCTTGTTCGAATATACATTCTATGTATATCTATAAAATATCTTATGTATATCCACAAATGTATCTACATCAGCGTATATCATATGTATGTACATAGTATATACAGTACATTTTTTTCACATTATGGATATTTCATGTATATACATAGGATATCGAATGTTTACTGGGTTCTAACAATTAAGTACAATCAAGTAAATTATAAAATTATTAGCGCAAGCGCTTGTTTCGCCCGAACGGAAAGAGTCGATTTGAATAATTACGATGCATTTGATGCACCGTTACGTGGTTCTAAATTTGTCATAAGTCCGTATTGTTTCTGGATGGTGAAAGAGTTAGCTTAATACGAGTTGTTCGTCTTTGTGTCAACGTAAATGAAAAAAAGTCACCGCACCCTTGTTAGTGTCGACTATTGAATATGCAGCTATTTATTTTGCTCTCATAAATCTTATAATTGATGATTTTATGTGCGCAGACATCTCTGAGTTTCTTACAATTTTATTTTTTATCTTCCATCTTTTATAATTTTGTTTTTTAACTTGTTGGACGTCTTTGATAAAATTCTAAACATATATAAAAGCTGACGTCTTTAGACTTCTTTAAATTCATTATGTAACCGTAAAGAACGCAACCCTGAAAGAAATCTAAAAAAATGTCTTCGTAGAATTTTACCAAAAACGTCAAACATATTTGACATCTGACATCTGATATTTTGACATTCAGTTGCAAAACGTTCTATTATAAAAAACAAAATTATAAAAGTAAAAATAAATTACACAACCGTATGCAAAATTAGCTGCATGCAAGATTACCATAGCCGCATGTAAAAATCACGTTTTAAAGTCTTGAAAGCATAATTATAGTATGAATACACATTACAAATTTTAAATCTTACTTCAATGTTTAGAAATTGCTATATTATGCAGTGCGTCATTTGTAGCTCGTTCGGGCTAACATATGATACAACAAAATGGAAAATAAAAGTGTTCAAAAATTACATTTATTTAAAAATAAAATTATTTGCACAATAAGAAAGGTCAGTAAACAAATTAATAAAAAGACAATGATCGATGTGCAAAATATTCGACGCTGTTAATCAACAATTGATAAAAATCTTTTTTTATTAATAAATTTTGAGCCTTAGTGTGTGTTAATAATATTAATTAAACAAATAGATTATTAGGCTAACGCAAGTTCTCACAATCAGTATTATATTATTTGTGATTGACAATATTGATTTGACATTTACTAACGTTTCGATTGTTTTATTCGATCATAATTAATGTATGAAGCTTTTCATCCTACTTTACATGTATTATCAATCGTTTGTATTTGTGAAAGCGCATTTTCTTATTTTAAACTGCTTACCTATTATGCATTTGTTTTTCGCATTTAATTAGTATTTCTTGCCGATGTTTACATAACTTCTATTTTAGACATTTACCATCTAGTTTGTTATTTGTATTTGTATTTCTTTACGTGTATCCAATCACTATGTGCGTGTATCCTATCACCCAAGTTAATAACTTATCAGTTATCTATCCGAAAGTTTTAATAGGTTTAATATTAATAGTTCGCGAGAAGCATATTCGTTTTCATCTTGCGACTTTTGAGTAAATGACAACAATACCTTTTAACAAACCAACTAGATTCCATTTTATGCAATAAATAAACACATTAATAGCTCATTTTTTAATTATTTTTTTTATGATGTTAATCAAAATGTTACGCATATCTTTTTGCCGATGTAAAAAATCGTTAAATATTTAGTTCTTTATACCTTTTACGTCATTGAATACGAACGGCAAGAGGAAGGTAATGAATGTAAATAAAATTATGAAGATTAACCGCTGTAAACATTTATAAGTCTTGCTTGAGTCCTGCTTACAATTCATTTAAAAACTAGTTGATGCAAGTGATAGAAGGGGAATATAAGTAGCATCGATTCAGCGATTTTTCGCATTAGTGCAATAACATTGTGAAATAATATATACAATAACTGTGAAAAAGTCGTTATAAATATTATTTTTTGAAGTCGAAAACGTTCTAAAGGTAAGAACTAATATATTTAATTTATTAAAAATAAAAAAACTGGCGTTAAGATAGTTCCAACGACTTCTCAATTATTTAAGATTTATTTAAATTTAAAAACAATAAATATATACAATGTCTCATTAGCTCAAATTGTTTAGAATTTTTTTGTCACATAATTATTAAAATATCTTTTATTTAACATGCCATTTATTCAATGGTTTTCACAGGCTAATCAAACGAAAATCAGACAATTTTGTTCAATTATAAAAAAAGTACTTTCGAAGTAGATGAATACGTTATAAGAACCATATTTAAATTTTACAAATATTTACCACATAATTGTTGAATAATTTTTATAACATAAAAAAATGATATAATTTAATATCATTCATGGAGGACAGAAAGACAGCAGCAAAAAGTGTATCGTCGTTTAAGTGTGAAAGACACAGTGAAGGATAAAGTGAATCAAAAATCAAGTAAAATAACAAATTGCTTCGTTTGCTATTTTCTATCATATTTTCATTTATCTAACTCTACCTACTTTCTATAATTTTGGCAATAATTGTATCGTTGGAACTATCTTAAATTATTAATACTACATTTAGCGTTTGCAAGAGAAGTGATAAAGTTGCGTTTCTTTGATTTTGATGGACTTTAAATATGTAGTAAATTACTAAAAATAAGAAATACTTATGTTTTTTAGATATGCATTCCTGCATGCTTAGAGATTGAAACAACTTGTATAAGATACGATACATGTATTCGACTTTAAGAGAATATCGTCAAAAAATACAAGAACTATTTCACGAAAAGGGAAAAATGAAGGGAAATGAATTTCATAAAGTTAGGGAAAAATTAGCAATAAATTATCTTGTCGGTTTATCGTTTCTTGAAGTAACGGCTTCATATAAATATGTATATATTTAACACAGATTTTCTATACAGCATGACTCCAAAATTGCAAGAACTTGCGAATGATGAAGTACCGATGAAAAAATCGCAAGAATCCAATTATAGGATGCAAATTGTTTGGAGAAACGTCGTTATCTTAAGCTATTTTCATCTTGCCAGCTTATATGCTCTGTATCTGGCCTGCTACAAAGCCAGATTTTGGACAATTGTTTGGTGTACGTATCTTTTTATACGTATTTAATTTTTTTCCTTATGTAGGTGACTGCGATCTTTTGATATACTTTTGATTATATTTTTTTACACACAGCATAACTTTTGTAACATATAGTAGTTTATGCAAAAAATTTATTAAGCTGAGCCATGTGTCTCAAAAGTTATTACAATTTCAAACGTTGCAAAAGTTGCAATATCAGCAGTATCGACTAACATATGTATTTATTTATAATTTGCAGTTTTTGCCGTTGGTATAGTCTCGAATATAGGCATTACTGCTGGTGCTCATCGATTATGGGCTCATAAAGCTTATAAAGCAAAGTGGCCAATGAAGCTTATTCTCATGATTTTTCAGAGCGTTGCTTACCAAGTAAGTCTAACGAGTTTTTTAAGTTCATTGGACTCCTATCTTTATCTTAAGCCCGTTTTTGACAATTTATAACAGAGCTCGGCGTTAGTTGCAAATTTCGGCTCGATTCTTGAGACGACGCCTCCCGCTCTCCCACTACCGCGCGGCCGCTGGTCGAGCCGCCGATAGCCTTGACTCAGGAGCGTCTGTGTAACAAATAGGCTGATGATGAGCGGGTACCTTTTAAAAAATAAAATTTTCTTCGTTATAGAAATAATATTTATTTTCACTAATTATAATTAAATACATTCCGATTTTTTGGTTGTTGGCGACGAAAAAGAGCTATAACTCCGTAAATATTCGTTGTCCGTTATATGTTTATAGGACCAAAGTTGCTTGACTCAACGAGACACATCGACGTAGGTACTCGGTTTCAAACGAACAATGGTAACGACCCATAACCCATAACACCCCACATTGTTTTCAAAAATTTATGAATTTCGAAAAACCGCCTGAAGGAATTGAAAGATCTCTCGATACCCTGCCAATAAGGTCCTATGGTCCGATCTTCTATCTTGTATAGTTTCCGAGTTCTAGGCCCCGATAACCAAAAAATCGGCGATGAAAAAAAGCTATAACTCTGTAAATATTCGTTGTCCGCTATATGTTTATAAGACCAAAGTTGCTTGTCTCAACGAGTCGCATCGACGTAGGTACTCTGTTTCAAACGAAAAATGGTGGCGACCCATAACCCCCAACACGCCAAATTTATTCAAAATTTACGAATTTCGAAAAACCGCCTGGAGAGATTGAAAGATCTCTCGATACCCTGATTACTTTTGTGGTAAATAAATTTTAGTACTTTAATTCAATTACATTTCTTTTTGTCCTCATATTTTAAAATTTAAATTACCATTCAATTACATTTCTTTTTGTCCTCATATTTTAAAATTTAAGTTACCAAATTTAATTTACCATAAAAGTAATTCAAATATTGATAATAAACGCCTTCGGCACGTATTTATGCAAATACTTTTTCTGTAAAATAAAATTAATAAAAACGGAAAGAGGTTCTTTTGTGAGCAACGCATCATTATTCTCTTTGATACGAACTAGTTCTTCTATTTCTGTGGATATCCTTAATAAAATCATGCAAATGACCAATAAAATCCAACAAAAGTTTTATAAATTAACTATTTCTATTTTTTTTAATTTATTTAATTTTTTTATTTGTTTCTGTTATGTTATCTTAAATATAAAATATCATTTAAGCCCTATATAAAATTTTCTGCCAAGCCATATTTATATAGATATTAAATTATCTTTGTTATTTTTTAGTAAAATAGGCTTATTGGGGAAACCACTTTTTAAAAAACGCATTCACAATAGTATCTCAAGGATAATGTAGAAAACTAT